TGAACCCAGTTCCCCTGCCCAACATAGTCCCAAATAGGTGCGCATGCAGAGGAGAGACACAAGAAAGGAGAGCCCATTTAAGGTCTTACCTCATGCTGGGAAATTAAAGGAAGCCATGAATGCAAGGCCTTGAACCGGATGGCCCGGGCTAGCCCGTCTTGTCAGATCTTGACGGTACAAGAACCAAAAACCAGTGGGGGAATATTTTAACCTTCCAGGACATTCAGTTGCTCTTTTCTACTCATCGGGTCTTGGAAGCTAAGCAGGGTCAGCCCTGGTCAGACCCCCAAGGAAGTCCAGGGATGCTCTGCAGAGGTAAAGGTAAAGGTTCCCTTGCTCGAAAGCCAGTCGAGTCCGACTCTAGGGTTGCGGTGCTCATCTCCGTTTCCAAGCCGAAGAGCCAGCACTGTCCGAAGACGTTTCCATGGTCATGTGGCTGGCATGACTAAACACCAAGGCACACGGAACGCTGTTACCTTCCCACTGAAGTGGTCCCTATTTATCTACTTGCAATTTCTTGCTTTCGAACTGCTAGGTTGGCAGGAGCTGGAACTAGAGACGGGAGCTCACTCCATCATGCGGCACCCGGGTCTCGAACTGCTGAACTACTGACCTTCCACAGCCTGCAGTTCAGCGTCTTACCCACTTGAGCCACCGCAGCTCCTTCTGCAGAGGTAGACAATGGCCAACCACCTCTGTTCATCTCTTGCCTTGAAAACCCCACGTGTACACCAAAAGTCAGTTGTAACTTGATGGCAAATAAATAAAATGAACGCAAGGTGCAAAAAATAATTAATAGTTATCGCATAGCATTGTGTACGGTACAGCCAGGAGATCACCAAAGATCACCTGGCTGCCTAAAGTACTAGCTCCTTTTAGCGTTTATGGGAGAGCTCCGAGAGAGCTGGGACTGACCCAAGGTCCCCCAGCTGGCTTCATGTGGAAGAGCGCGGGATCGAATCCAGTTCTCCAGATGAGAGTCCGCTGCTCTTAACCACTTCACCACGCTGGTGTTCTCCCAAGGCACGACCCATGCCTGGCAACTGGTTCATAGGTTTGCTTTCAGTTCCCAAGAAGGAAATGTTCCCCCAGAGTGATTCAGCTTGATCTTAAGTGGACCTCGGTCCCCAAGGGCCTGAACGTTATCGCCCAAGGAGCCCTTGGAGACAGAGACACACCTGAGCCCGTCTCGGCCAGGCACAGAGCCAATGATGTGGCCCGTTTGCACTCGGCTGGCTCCGTGGGCAACTGTACTCCACCACTCCCTGGAGTCAAGGCCTGAGCTGACAGGGCGATCCTGCACCAACCGCTACACCTTCACAGAGAGCCAGTTTGGTGTAGTGATTAAGTGTGCAGACTCTAATCTGGGAGAACCGGGTTTGATTCCCCACTCCTCCACTTGCACCTGCTGGTGTGACCCTGGGTCAGTCACAAGCTCTGGCACAGCTGTCCTTGAAAAAGAGCCGTTTCTGTCAGAGCTTCTCTCAGCCCCACCCACCTCACAGGGTGTCTGCTGTGGGGAGGGGAAGGGAAAGGAGTTTGTAAGCCGCTCTGAGACGCCAAGTGAAGGGCGGGGTATAAATCCAATCTCTTCTTCTTCTTCTTCTTTGGAAAGCGCCTCCCCATAGTCAACGTTCTGAACAGCAGCTCAAAAACAAAAACCCAAATCAGCTGGGCTCCATCTTCCCTCAAGGACGAGCCCTTGGACTCTAACCCACAGCATCCTTTCCGCCTCTTTACATGTTTCCAGGAAAACCCAGTTGCGAGGTCTCCGGGTCTCCAATGGTGCTGTCGTCTCTCTGCCTCCCCACTCGCTTCCTAAGCTTCATTCGCTGAAATCCCAAAGTGATCCTCAAACAGTCTGTTAACTCACCCCTTTCCAAACACGCTCCAGAGCCAGCCCCTGCCCCCATCGCAAAGCACCACCACCAGTTCCCTCACTCCACAGGGTTAAGCGATGATGTTCCGACACAGGCTTGGACCTCTGACCCTTCCCTGGCTGCACATCATGGCCCAAGCATGATAATTAAGTCCAGATGCCCTTAAGCGGGCCTCCTTCAGCAAGCAGCTCCAGATATCCTAGGATGGGGATGCTAGTCCGAACGTGTGCACACAACACAGGAGGAAAGGCAAACTGTGCGCCTTGTCTCCCTTTTAATTGTGCAGGATCATAGAATCATCGAGCTGGAAGGGACCACCAATGGTCATCTAGTCCAACCCCCTGCACAAGGCAGGAAATGCATAAATACTCCCCCCCACACACACACCCAGTGACCCCTGCTCCATGCCCAGAAGATGACAAAAAACCCTCCAGGATCCCCGGCCAAACAGGCCTGGAGAAAAATGGCTTCCTGACCCCAAAGTGGCGATCAGCATTTCCCTGGGCATGTAAAAAAGGGCCAAAGGAACTAAGCACTGAGGCAACCCTTCCTGCCCTCCCTCTAGGGCTGCCAAATCCCCCTGGGGGACGGATTTCCCCCCGCTTTGGAGGCCCGATTTCCGCCGCTGCGGAATCGGGCCCCGGGGGAAACCCCACCCCGGCGTGCACGTCACCCGGATGTGACGTGATGATGCCGGGAACGCTGGGGGCGGGGCCACAGCCATTTGAGGGGAAAACTCTATGTTTTCCCCTAAAATGGCTGTGGCCCCGCCCCCAGCGTGCCCGGTGTCATCACGTCACATCCAGGTGATGTGCATGTGGCACGCGCGCAGAAGACCGGGAGCCCCCCGCCGCAGACAAAAAAAGGTTTGGCAACCCTCCCTCCCTCTCCTGATCTGCCTAAGTTCACAGAATCAGCATTGCCGTCGGATGGCCATCCAGCCTCTGCTTAAAAACCTCTGAAGAAGGAGAGCCCCCCCACCTCCCGAGGAAGCCTGTTCCACTGAGGAACCACTCTGTCAGGAAGTTCTTCCTAATGTTTAGCCAAAAACTCTTCTGATTTTATTTCAACCCGTTGGTTCTGGTCCGACCTTAACAGAAAACAACGCTGCACCATCCTCTATATGACAGCCCTTCAAGTACACGGCCACAAATGTTGTTAGTCTTGTTAGGTGCCACTAGACTCTTGGATCTGGTCCGACCTTCTGGGGCAACAGAAAACAACTCCGCACCGTCCTCTATGTGACAGCCCTTCAAATACACTGCCACAGATTTTGTTCGTCTTTAAGGTGCCACTAGACTCTTGCTCTTGTTCCGAAGAAGAGAGGAGTGACTCACGAAAGCTCCTCCCCTGCCACAAATTTTGTTAGTCTTTAAGGTGCTCCTGGATTCCCGCTCTTTTCTACTGCTGCAGACAGACTAACATGGCTGCCCGTCTTGATCTACAGTTACCTGGACTTACAAGGTGAGGCACACATCGCTCTGGGCACCCTTCCCAGACCTACACCTGGCACATCATGTCGCATTAAGAAACACTGGGCATGATGTAACACCTTCCAAAATTGTCAGTGCAATGGCCGTCTTTTGCTTTTTGCAAAGGCGTAAGGATCGAGACACTATTAACAAACACCGCCCGCTTTAGAAGAATTACATAAACGGCACAGATTCCCCACTCCTTTGAATCTTTGGGAGGCAGATTTATCCAGTCAAAACTCCATAAACAGAAACCTTCACATTTGCCATTCTTTTGGGATTTGTCACATCCAAAATGTCCAAATTCTTCTCACCTTATTATTATTTTTTTTTAAATCAGTATGGCTGTTTTGCCGTTAGTGAACTAAAACCAGACTCTCCCTTTTTAATCCAGTTTTTTTCCCCAATTCACGGCAATGTTTACAGATGAGAGCTTGCGGACAACAACATGTTATTCCGAAGACAGAAAATCCAAAACTAATTGCAAAGCTCTTTTCAAACCAAAGATTTCCAAATAGTTCAGCAGCTTAGAGGGTTTTTTGGAAAAGCTCCTTAATACCCAAACCCTCCAAAACAAGCACAAATATTCGATGTCTCTGTTTCCCAGCAGCCAGACTTCATCTGTAGGGTGGACATACTTGGCCCCTGCAATTTTATACCTCATTTCAAGGCAAGAGACGTTCAGAGGCGATTTGCCATTGCCTGCCTCTGCTTCATGACCCTGGTATTCCTTGGTGGACTTCCTTCCAAAGACTGACCAGGGCTGACCCTGCTTATTTATTTGTTTTTATTAGGTTTGTGCAGGGGTCATTTCCTGCATGAGCGCACAGGAGCGGAGCTCCGGCAGTAAAGAGCCCAGAGGGCGGGCACATGCAACAAGCCCCACCCCCTGCTCCCAGCAGCCCCCAGTCAGAGAAAGAAGCAGCCTGGTAAGCTGCAGAGCCCCCACCCTACCCCCTGGTCCATAACAGTCCAGTGGCACCTTTAAGACCAGGTTTTATTCAGGTACAAGCTCACCCTCCTCTGTGAGGACAGAGCTGCACGTTCCCCACCCCCAATAGCTAGCAATCTAAAACAGTCCAGTGGAGCCTGAGCGGTGGGTGTTGCCGGTGATGTCAGGGGGTGTGGCAAATAAGTTATGCTAATGAGCTCCTGCACCTCTTTTTCTACGAAATGACCCCTGGGTTTGTGTCCCACCCTCCCCACATAGCAGGCTCAGGCTGGGTTCCATCAATTCCCATATACAAAAGCTTAAAAACAATTAAAATACATCAGATTAAAAATACAACAACATTCCTTTGTGTTAATCAGTGCCTCAAAAGACGAGGGGTTTCAGATTGGGGTTCCTAGATGGTAAACATAAATCTGACCCGCTGAAGGGGAGGCCCAAGAGAGAGGGGAGGATGCCAGCCGCCTCAGCTAAAAGCCTGGTGGAAGAGCTCAGTCTTACAGGCACTGGTGGAAAAGTCCCTGGCCCTAGTCAAGGCAAGATGGACATCCCCGGGGCTGGGGACAACCAGGAGATGCTAACTGGCAGATCCGTAAAGCCCTTCTAGCATGATCAGGCTAGCCTGAGCTATCCGGGTCAGGGCTGAGTTTGCCCGGCTCTGCCTAAATGCTCGAGACTCGGTCCCTTTCAAGGGCCTACCTTATTTCTGGCAGGGCTCCGGGCTTTTTGTCCGTTGGCTTCTTCCGAGAGCGGCTTCAGGGTGGCGCTGAATTTGGGCGTCTCCGGCGCTTCCGCATTCCCGAAGCCCTTCATGGCCGCCCGGTAGGACATGTTGCGGAGGTTGCGTTTCAGCGTCCCCCCGCCCAGCTCCTCCTCCAGCTCCTCGAAAGAAATGCTGGGGGCCGACAAGCGCTTGGGGTCGCATCGGGGGGTCTCTTTGGTCAGGGCCACGGCTGAGAAGCTCTGGTGCCGGGAGGGGGGCTTGGCTCGGGGAGACTCCGCCAGGCTTTTGGGGATGAGCTGCTGGGTGCCCACCTTCAGAGCTACCACCGGGCTCTCGGTGCTGAGGACGATCCGGCGTGGCCCGGTGGGAGACGGGGAGAGGTCATCTGAAAAGGTGGGGTTATCCAGGGCTGCCATGGCGCTCTGCTCTCCCTGTGGGGGCACCGCAGCGGTGCTGATCCGTAACTCGGAGGTAAGCCGGCGCCCCAGCAGAAGGGCCTCGTCCGCCAAGGAGGTGTCGGAATGCCGCTGGGACATGACAGAGCTACGGACGGCTTCCGGGAGCCTAGAAAGGGAACCGAGGGAAAGAAGGCGTGACGGACTCCGCTTTCCAACATGGAGACAAGAAAGAATATACCGCCATGGGAGGCCCGTCGGGATGCCAGCCTCCAGGTGGGACCTGGGGATCCCCTGGAATTACAGCTCAGCTCCAGACTACGGAGATCAGTTGTAGTCTGTGCTTGAGGCCATTGGTCATGTGAGCTAAATAAATTGATTGATTTGATTGAGATCAGTTCCCCTGGAGAAAATGGATGGTCTGGAGGGTAGACTGCATGGCATAGGGTTGCCAGCCTCCAGGTGGGGCCTGGAGATCTCCCACTTTGACAACTGAACTCCAGCCGACAGAGATCAGCTTCCCCTCGAGAAAATCTGGAGAAAATGGCTGTTTGAAGGGTGGACTCTGTGGCACTGTACCCTGCTGAGGCCCCTCCCCTCCCCAAGCCCCGCCCTCTCCCGGATCTACCCCCAAAGTCTCCAGGTATTTTCCAACCCAGACCTGGCAACCCTACTATGGCACTGTACCCCACTGAGGTCCCTGTCCTCCCCGGGTTCCACCACCAAATCTCCAGGAGTTTCCCAATCTGGATCTAGCAACCCTAATAAGGCCCTAAGCAGTTCCTGTATTCAAGAGTCACAGGACTGGAAACCTCCTGGCAAGAAAAAAAACAGCAATGGCATTTGGAGCTGCTGGACCGGGACTGCAACGGCCTGAGGCTACAGACAGAGGGGCCCAGGATGAGACAGCAGCTTCCCTAAATTAGCAGGGAACTCATCAAGACAGGGACATCTCTGTATCCAAGCCTGGAGTATTGTTGCAATTCACAGGAGATGAAGCTCTTCCACCAAAGAAGCGGCTTACAATCCCCTTCCCCTCCCCACAAGAGACAGGGCAGGTGGGGCTGAGAGAGCTCTCTTGAGAACTGCTCTTTAGAGAAAAGCTCCGAGGTAACTTGCGAGCGACCCAAGGTCCCAACAGCAGCTGCCTGTGGAGGAGTGGGGAATCAAACCCTGTTCTCCCAGATTAGAGTCTGCGCTCCTGACCACTACGCCGAACAGGCTCTCAAAGGCGATGCGGGAGACCTTCCTCCTCCCTCAGACTGTGGAGAAGCAAAGGTCACAGCGCGTTGTGCGCTCCATGAAAAAGCAGCCCAACCGGTTAGGCGGCTTTCCAAAGCTCACCGCCTGCTAGATCTGTTCTCCCTGCGGGGCCCGCATGAAAAGATTTATTCTTCCTCAAGAAGCCCTGCATATGCCTATGGAATCACTCATCCAGTATCTTTCAGCGGAAATCCTGGATTAAGGTTCTTTGGGATCCCGGGGCAGGAATAATACTTTTGAGCCCTCCGGGTGTGAGAATCTTCACTCGGATGCTTCGTTTGGTGTAGTGGGAGAGCCAGTTTGGTGTCGTGGTTAAGTGCGCGGACTCTAATCTGGGAGAACTGGGTTTGATTCCCCACGCCTCCACTTGCAGCTGCCGGATGACCTTGGGCAAGCCGTAGTTCTGATAAGAGCTGTTCTTGAAAAAGAGCCGTTTCTGTCAAGAGTTCTCTCAGCCTCACCTACCTCACAGGGTGTCTGTTGTGGGGAGGGGAAGGGAAAGGAGTTTATAAGCCACTCTGAGACGCCCTTGGGTAGTGAAGGGCGGGGTATAAATCCAATCTCTTCTTCTTCTTCTAGTTTCCAATATGCCTACAGTGTGATACGAACACAGCATAAAATTACATCCGGGGCCCTTTGCAGAGGAGCAGTCGCAGGCGGTGCCTCCTGGGCCACGGGACACCGAGTCCCTCTGCGCTGCTTGGAGGATCCTGAGCGCTTGTTCCCTTCTTGGGAGAAGATCGCAAAGTACCCAGAAGAAGGCTAGAGGAATGGCCTGGCTTGGAGGAGGGAGACAAAATCCCCTGCGCTTTTTCCACACTGCGCGTAATTTTACCACCCTCTCTCACCTCTTCTGTTAGACCAGGGGTGGCCAAACTGTGGTTCGGAAGCCACATGCGGCTCTTTCACACGTATTTTGCGGCTCCCGGAAGGGCAGGTGGGGAAGCGAAGGGGAGGCAGGCTTCCCCGATCGGTCTTCCCTTCCCCAGACAGTGTTCCCCACCCTGGATAGGCTTGAGGTGGGGGTGGGGGGGGTGGCAAATCTGCCTATTTTTCAATAAAAACACGCGTGTAATATTTGTTCATGTCTTGAGGCTCTCAAACGTCTGACATTCATTCTACGTGGCTCTTACATTAAGCAAGTTTGGCCACCCCTGCCTTAGACACGAGTGTCTCTTATTTATTTATTTATATTTATAATTTCAATTTATAGCCTTCCCGCAATGCAGGCTCAGGGCGGCTCACAATTAAGCATACGCCAACAGATAAAACAGTTAAAACCATAAAAACCATTGTTACAAAATTACAAAAATTACAGAAAACATATTAAGTGCTCTAGGTGCTCTAAACAAAATCTTAGCGTCCCTTAGAATCTAGTGTCCTGGCCCCACTTGGTGGACCTCCTGATAGCCCCTGGTATTTTTGGCCCCTGTGTGACACAGAGGGTGCATTCAGACGGGGCGTTTCGGCCAGCATAAACTGTACCGGTTGGAAACGCGATCACACTTACCTCCCTCACAGCGGAGCCCATCGCTGTATGCCCGTTCACATGGTGCGGCCGTCGGCGTTTTTTTTTTGTTTAACTCAGTTTGAGCATGTGCATAGGCAGCCATCCACAGAATGGCGATCTTTGCGCATGCTCAAAACACCCCGTATTACATTTAAAGTTTAAAGGTAAGGACTTAAGTTTAAAGCCCAAACTGGCCTCCCTGAAGTCCTGGACTCCTCCGAAACGCTAAACTAAGGCCCTTTTCTTTTCTTTTTTAAACAAACGCCGGGGCGAAGCTTCGCCCAAGCGCATATCGGCAACCTAAAAAAAAAATGGTGGGCGAAAATCGGAAGCCTCGGGCTTCCAAACGGAAGTAGCTAGACACCGGTGGAGAGCGATCAGACGGGGGGTAAACCGATTACAACTGTTGTACTCAGGATACCACCACTTGGGGACCTAGTGGCAGAGTACAACGGTTTAAAGGGCTTTGCAACGGTTAGAGACGGAAGGCAGATGTTCTACGTGTGAACGCCGGTAAATTCACCGATTGCAACCGGCACCTATTCCGTTGCAAATGCCCCGTCTGAACGCACCCAGAGTGTTGGACTGAATGGGCCTTTGGCCTGATCCAACATTGGCTTCTCTTATGGTCTTACCTTCTCCCTGAAACCAAACCTGGCGTGCCCTACCACCTAGTTACCTGCCTCCAACCACTTCATCGCTTCATTTAGACCTCCCTCTTCTCCCCAATGGGGACTCACAGCGGCTTACATCATCCCCCCCATTTTATCCTGACGACAACCTTACGAGGTAGGTTAGCAATGTTAAGCTGATTCGTTATAGTGGGGGAAATGTGTCTAATTCCCCGTCAGATAAGCTTATGGCCCAATCGAAATCGTGTGGCCGTGTGTCCCATACCTGACAGGGTTCAGTGTTCAGGGGACCCTATTTGCATCTGGAAGACCCTGAATTTGATCCCAGGCATCTTCCCTTAAAGGGGGTTCAGGATGGGAAAAGCCCTTCTCTGCCCAAGGTCTCGGAGAGCCGCTTCGGACAGAAGAGAGAAGCCCGGTTCAAACCAGGCCCAGCCCATCAACGCAGCCTCTTAGGGCCAGACTAGAGATGACAGTGGCCATGGGTGCTTTCAGCATGTGTGTGTGTGTGGTGGTGGGGGGGAGACAACAGCCCCTGTTCTCGCTGTGCTCCAAGCCTGCTGAGGATCGGGCCCTTGCAGCATGTTTAAATGGCCGGCTTTGTCTGTGAATGAAATGACGTCTAGTTTGGCCTTTCGCGGCAGCTCTTTTCTCCTTTTCCTCTTCATTTTGGAAGCAGGAAGGGATGAAAAAGAAAATGTCGAGCCGAGCAATTACGAAAAGAGTAAAGAAAACAATTCAGGAATGGTGTTTAAAAGGTGTGTGGGCAGAGTCAGTTTAGTTGCCTCACAGCTCAGGTCTGACAAAGGTGTTGAAGATTCCTCCCTGTCTCCAAGACACAACACCCAGATGACCTCTCTGTTTCTCTGTCCGCTGGCCCCACACCAATAGCAATGTTCCGCTTCTGGCTAATCTTTGCGCACTTTATCTTTACCACAGCCCTGTAAGGTAGGCCAGTCTTATTTTCCCCCTCCCATAATGCAGATTTGTGGGGGGGGGGCTAAGCCCGAGAGTGCATAGCGTGTTTAAGGGCAGCAAAGTGAGGTAGCGGCATATTCAACAGCACCCAGTCACCAAAAAAAACCTCCTGCAAACCGGAACAAAGTTACCCTTCAGCTAGTGGCAACCAGTTTGGAAGGCACAGCACAGCCTAAGTTCTGAGCTCTAATGATGCAACAGATTGAGAAAGACAGAACTACGCTGTTTCACATTGCATTTGTAAGAAGTGTTTTTTTGGCGTTTTCATACCTAACAGCTTTCACCACCCAAGCCCGGGGCACCAGACGGGGTGACTTCTAAGAACTGGAGCAAAAACTAGCAGGTGGAGATGGTTTCAGTACCTGTTGCTTTTTCACATACACTCCCCTTCAACCTGTATGACTGGGGATGACAGCACTGCCAATCACCAGGTGGTGGCCGGAGATCTCCAGGTGAAGGTGGACTCTGTGGCCTTATAGCCCGTTGAAGCCCCTCCCTTCCCCAAACCCTGCCCTCCTCAGGCTCCACCCCCAAACTCTCCAGGGATTTCCCAGCTTGGAGCTGGTGGTGACCCTAGGGACCGATATTATGTGACCTGTCCAAGAAATACCGAATAATCCTCAAGCATCCTTGAAGCACCCGCTTCCTTCAAACAAACGAATAAAGGATATGTTAGTCATCGGCCGATTGGATGCAGATGCTAATGCAGAGTCAGGAAGTCCTTCTTCACCCAAAGAGTGATGAACACATGGAACTCACTGCCACAGGAAGTGGTGGCAGGCGCTA